TAATCTAACATCTTGTACCACCTGAGGCATGGGATCTTTTGGCAAAGACCTCAAACCCGACACCAAGCAGCAGTGTCAGTAAGCCAACCTTTCCATCCAGTGACTCCATCTATACTACTCACTGCCTCAGGAAGGAGACAACATAGTCAAAGACCCCTCTCATCCCAGTCGTAATCTCTTCCAAACTTCTGTTGGGCAGAAGATATGAAAGCTTAAACACATAGCAACATTTCAAGAACAGCTTCTTCCCTGTTGTTACTAGACTTCTGAATGCACTTTTCCAATTTTAAATTTAAAATGTTCATCTCACTCATGGTGCACCTTTTTCTGCAGCCATAGCATTGTTTTTCGCTCTGTTCTATTACCCTGGTGCACTTTGGATGGTGTGATCTGCCAGTACTGCATTTCAAACACAACTTTTCACTGTACCTAGGTACATGTGGTGATATTTCAAAATGAAAGCTATGGACAATAACTTTTGAAAGATCACCAGTGATGTGTTAATCTCTGAAAAATCCTTCAATTCTAATTGCACGAGAGATGCTATGATTGCCATGTCCCCTCTTGGTCTGTAGTCCCCAAGTATTGTGGCACTGGTTATGATTTAAGTTGTTTTGGGTGTGCTTCCAGAACAAGCTCGCTACTCCCAAGCAAGCATGTCCTTAAACCTTATTGTGGGGGAGGGTGGAGAATCAAATGCAAGATCTGATTCTAATGGGAATCTCTCTTCTCTACTTTGGGCAGACTTTTTGGAGCAAGGTGGGGTGGGAGGAGGAACTGTGGAGGTCTTATCAAACAAGGGCTTCTCTGCCACAGCTCCTGAGGTACCAAGCAGGTGGCCAAGTGCCAACTGCAGGTGTGTGTTAAAGCTGAGCATCCTACCCAGCTGGGTCTCCAAATGCCCCCCCTCCATACCTGTGGGAAGGTGTGAGGGCCCAATATCATTTGGGTTGCTTTGTTTCCTCTGCACCCAGTACTGCTAACCTCACGGTGCCAGGGACCCAGGTTCAATTCCAGTCTCAAGCGACTGTCTGTCTCCTGGAGTTTGCGCCTTCTCCCCGTGTCTGTGTGGGCTTCCCCTGGGAGGAGGCAGCAGTGGGGGTGGGGAGTGTGGGTGTCAGTGAGGAGCAAGTGCACCCCTGACTCAGACTGTCTCAGACACTGCCCCCACCTCGCCCCATACACTCCCAGGTTCAAAGATTAGCGAGGCAAATCATCACCAACCCAATTGTTTCTGACCTCCTAGGAATGGCACTGTCTCTGTCCGCTCCCTCCCCACCCACTGCTTTTTAACTCCTCCTTCCCCTGAGGACTGACAGAAAAAGGAGCTCCCCCCACCCCTGACACACTAATCTCCTGGATTTACACATTTCCTGAGGCAACACTCTGCTTAAGGTGAGCTACTGTGACGTTTAAGTTGGCATTCCTACCATCATTCGCATTGAGGGGCTCTTGTGGTGCAGTGATAGTGTCCTTTCCTTCGGAATCAGCAGGCCTGGATTTGGATCCTGCCTGTTGAATGCGGTTGAACAGATTATTTTAAATTCACACACAAAATCCCAATCAATTGCTGGCCAAGAGTTGAAGGTTTTGCTATGATCACTAGTCCAGTCTGAGGCAAACACCCTTCCCTTCCACTAATGGCAAAATCTAGGCTAACCAAGCTTGTTTGTTAGGCTGCCGATGCACAGAACAACACACAGTCCTGTAATGTTTCCTTGCAATAAGCTGTCTGCTATATTCCTCGACAGCAATGCATGCTAGGGTAAGCTGATACTGGATTGGACTCGGCACAGCTTTTACAGGTAGTCTGACAAACGTTTCTGTACGTGATTGAAAACTTGCGATGCTCAGTGCAAAATTGAGGAGAGTGAACTTTTCAGCTAAAAGCAGTAGCTGCTCCAAACATGGCATTCCACTCAAATTAGTGGATTTTGCTTAAAATTGCATTTAAGATTTGTCTTATGTAATCTTTGTTACTATTGGGTCTACTCTGTTCTGTTTAAATCTTTTAAAAAAAAATTTTATTGGCTTTCACAACTACAGAACACTTCATAGCATTTGAGTGCCCGTAGAACGAGTTTTTGTTGTTGGGCAGTAATATGTGGCGGTCAGTGGACGTATTTAAAAGGTAGAATCACCATAGTCTCTGTGGATTGTAGGCTGCTCTCATTAGACAGGGACAACTGTTGGAGAGTTTAAGTAGAGTATCACCACTCCTTCGGCATTGAGTGAGTTTCAGAAGGCACGGACTCTGATGACCTCAGCTGCTGCAGGATTTGAACCCACCACTGTCTGTGTCCCTCTACATTACATTATAAACCAGCTGTCCAGCCAACTGACCCCAAACAGCAATGTGGCATGATCAGTACTGCTTCATAAAATCCCTACAGTGTGGAAACGGGCCCTTCGGCCCAACAAGTCTGCACCGACCGATTTTCCCCCTATAACCCACCTAATCTACACATACCTGAACGCTACAGGCAATTTAGCATGGCCAATCCACCTAGCCTGCACATCTTTGGACTGTGGGAGGAAATCGGATCACCCGGAGGAAACCCCAGAAAAACAGGGAGAACGTGTGTGGAGTTCGCACGGTCGCCCGAGGTGGAATCGAACCCGGGCCCCTGGCGCGGTGAGGCAGCAGTGCTAACCACTGTGCCAACTTTTGTGCTTGTGGTGACTTGTTGGGTGATGAGTTTTGACCAGGCAATCAGACAGAAATCTTACTCCCTTGCTATTCAGATGGTGGTTTGGGAATTTTTAGTGCTTATTTTAGGGGTGACGACAGTGGTGCTGTGATGACATCACTTGACTAATAATCTAGGTGCTCAGTTATTACTCTGGGAAATGAATTCAGCTGGTGAAATCTCGAATTTTGTTTTTAAAAATCTGGAATTGATTTGAGCTAGATTCAAAAGCTTTCCTAATTGATTGTTTAAACCAAAAAAAAACCCCACTAGTTCACCATTCTTGCCTGGCCTGGCCTGGCCTACATGTGACTGCAGACCCACAGCAATGTGGTTTGCACTTACCTGCCCTCTGAAATGGCCAAGCAAACCACTCCTTTCAAAGACAGCTTGGGGATGACTAAGAAATGCTGGCCTTGCCAACAATCCCCACATCTCATGGAAAAACTAAAAGGCAAGAATGGGTACGCCAGAGAGTAAATGAGCCTTTTGGTTTAAGATCTTGTCCAAAAAAAAGCACCTCCTTGGTGTTGAGGTCTTGGCCTTTTGAGTTCAAATTCCTGGGGTTTCATGTCCCACAACTTTTGATCTTCATGCGAAAGCTACTCACAGTAACACTCGTTCTTCCTAAGCCTAGTTTGAGGATTTGCGGACAAGTTAAGAACACCCTTTTACGGCCCACCATTCAAATGAGGAGCAGAAGCCTTTTAATGGCTCCCTCCAAGAAAACTCTTGGGCTAGTTGATTGTATAAAAACCCAACTCTTGCCAACCGTATGACAGTTAAGTATTCGATCACCTTGCTTTTGGTCTCTGCATTGAAGTCTTGAATTGGAACCAATATGTGTGAGTTGTGCAAATAGTAGTAGTGTTTTAAATATTTTAAGGTAGTCCATTCAATTTCGCTGCACTTGCATGTCCAACTTGATTTCCACTGTTCACCAAATGAACACTGATATGTTTGCAAGCTGCATATCCCCTTGATCAGAGTGGGTGTGCAATTTGAAAATGTACTATTTTGTTCATTCACTCACTGTGGAACCAAAATCTGGAGTGCTGTCCCTAAGTGCGCTGGGAGGCGATGGCCTAGTGGTATTATTGCTGGACTGTTAACCCAGAGACCCAGATAATGTTCTGGGGACCTGGGTTCGAATCCCACAATGGCAGATCATGGAATTTGAATTCAATAAATATCTGGAATTGAGAATCTAATGATGACCGTGAATCCATTGTTTGGAAAATCCATCTGGTTCACGAATGGCCTTTAGGAAAGAAAACTGCCATCCTTATCTGGTCTGGTCTGGCCTACATGTGACTCCAGAGCCATGGCCATGTGGTTGACTCTGAACTGTCCTCTGCCTAATCCCCATTTGCCCAATAAATGCTGCCTGGCCAGTGACATTTGCATCCTGTGATGGAATAAAGAAAAACACGAATAGCCCAGGACACACTCCACTTCAGGCAATTAAAGATGGGTAGTATATGTCCAGACCTAGCTAGCACACTCATCCCGTGATCAAACAAAACATGCAATTCTATGACCTAATTATTATCTCTAACGTAACTGTACAGCACAAGAACAGGCCCTTCGGCCCAACATGTGCTGAACGTAATACCAATTAAACCAAACCTTTCTGCCTGCCTGTCGTCCATATCCCTCCATTCCTTGCATATTCATGTTCTTATCTAAAAATCCCTATTGTAACTGCCTCCACCACCACCAGCCATGCATTCTAGACTCCTACCACTCTCTGTAAAAAGAAAAACTTGCCACCCTTGCCTCTGTTAAACTTGCCCCCTGCACCAGACATTTCAACTCGGGGTGGCGGGAAGAGAGATTTTGACTGTCAACTGTATCTATGCATCTCATAATTTTAAGACTTCTACCAAGTCTCCCTTCAGCCTCCACTGAATTTGCTATCATTTGTATGCCCCCGCTTGCTGAAGCAGCCTCATCTCTTTGGGCATCGGAAGCCTGGTATCACCAGGTTTTAGAATTTCCCTATTTAATCTCAACTGACGTTTATTTTGAAATTGCAGGAGAAATTCAGCAGGTCTGGCAGCATCTGTGGAGGGAAAGCAATGTTTGTTTTGGGTCCAGTAATCTCCCCTTCTGAAGTTGTTTCTCCAGTAACTTGTTTTTGTTTCAGACTTCCAGCATCCACAGCCCTTTTTTTTTGTGACATTGAATTTAAGTTGCTCTCAACCAGTTATAACTGCACTTTATTTTGAGAACTACTAGCGCTTATTCTTGTGACCTGAATTGTATAATTCCATTATTGCAATGTCTTTTTTTTTTAAATCCCCACAGGGATATGAAGGGTCACTGATCAAGCTAACATCAAAACAGGTAAACCTTTTACCTTTTTTATCATAACCTAGATGCGGAATGTTCTCTATGCTCAATATCTCTCATTTTAAACGTTTTCAAGTCCGACAAATCAGAATTGAATCATGATATGACAAAATGGGATGTCATATCTTGTATTAAATTCCTAGAGGTAACATCAGCAGGAGAGCGTGCTTTATCATTCCAAACTGAGTTACTTCTATTGCATTTTAAGGGACTATTTTGTTTGTGGAAAACTTGCATTACAGCCTTGCGCAGTCTAAGTTTTTCCCTTCCTTTCTTGTTTGCGAAGGGATGGAAGATTTGTGGTAAATGACAAAAATAAATTGCTGGAAAAGTCTCTAGTAGGTCTGGCAGCATCTCTGGAGAGAAATCAGTTAATGTTTCAGATTCAGTGGGGATTTGCATGTGAACATAGAAGGTATGGTTAGTAAGTTTGCAGATGACACCAAAATGGGAGATGTAGTGGATAGTGAAGGTGGCTATTTCAGTACGGTGGGATCTTGATCAGATGGATCAATGGGCTGAGGAATGGCAGATGGAGTTTAATTTGGATAAATGTGAGGTGCTGCATTTTGGAAAGGCAAATCTGGGCAGGACTTGTACACTTGAGAGATCTTGAAATGCAGGTTCATAGTTCCTTGGAAGTGGAGTCACAGGTAGGTAGGACATTTGGTATGCTTGCCTTTATTGGTCTGGGAGTTGAGTGTGGGAGTTGAGGTTATGTTGAGGCTGTGCAGGACATTTTGGTTAGGCCGTTTTTGGAATACTGTGCAGTTCTGGTCACCCTGCTATAGGAAGGATATTGTGAAACTTGAAAAGGTTCAGAAAAGATGTACAAGGATGGTTCCAGGGTTGGAGGGTTTGAACTATAGGGAGAGGCTGAACAGGCTGGGGCTATTTTCCTTGGAACGTCAGAGGCTGCAGGGTGACGTTTAGAGGTTTGTAAAATCATGAGGGGCATGGATAGGATGAATAGTTAAGGTCTTTTCCTGGGGGTGGGGGGGAGTCCAAAACGAGAGGGGAAAACTTTAAAAGGAACCGAAAGGGCAACTTTTTCAGAGGGTGGAGCATGTATGGAATGAGCTGCCAGAGGAAGTGGTGGAGGCTAGTACAATTACAACATTTTAAAAGGCATCTGGATGGGCCCATGAATAGGAAGGGGTTAGAGGGATGTGGGCTAAATGCTGGCAAATGGCACTAGATTAATTTAGGATATTTGGTCAGCATGGATGAGTTGGACCGAAGGGTCTGTTTCCAAGCTATAATCTGTGACTCTGACCCTTCCTCTCAACTGAACAGTCGCTGGACCCGACACATTAAATCTGCTTTCTGTCCACAGAAAACTGAGCTTTTCCAGCAACATCTGCTTTCGTTTCTGATGTCCAGCATTAGAATGCTTTCTTTGCTTTCTTTTGCGTCCTTCCGTCCTTCCTTCCTTCCTTCCTTCCTTAATTTATGGTAAATGGATGATTTGAGGAAAGTTTTCACTTATCCTAAAATGATGTCTTCTGCATCCAGGGGTTAACAGAAATATAGAGACTACTAACCAGAATGAATGGAGGTGTAACATCGAGATGGGGCAAGCTCACCTTGAGGTTTATAGACACTCATTGTTGAGTTTGAGGTGCCAGTGTAGGTTTTAAAATATTTTTGAAGTTTAGTGGGTTATTGTTGCACAAGTGGCAATTTGTGGGAAGGAACTATGTGTGTGGGTTGTGTTTGAACAGCCTTGCAAATGTAAAAATTTTTGACTGTGTTCAACCACTTGCTGTTTCACTGGGTGAATGTTGCAACAAACTGTGCATACCTAATAAACTCTAATTAAAACTAAGTGTAAACAGCAATTAAATGTTTGCAAGTGCCCTTAAAGTTATTACAAAGCTGAATTGGAGCAAAACTGTATCGCTTAAAGTTAAATTTCACCAGTATTCAAACTAAGATTACACTTCTTCTCAACAGACAAACTTTTTTGTGCCTTTGACAGTACCAATAAACCCTGGGATTGTATTTATATCTAACATGGTTCATTGAATGTAGTTTCCCCTTTTGATCTTAAATCTAAAATGAAATGCGTTATTAAAAGTATATCTTTGTAATTATTCCTCCAATGTAATTACTGTACATTTTAACTGTAGCAGGACTCTGACTTCTAACTTAAATGTAGCGTGGTATGTTAAAGTTAATGAATGTGATCTTTTTTTGACCCCAGAAATCCACAGGGGGTCCTCTGCCACTCATTTACAATCCTGGTGAATGGAGCAGTTACACAACAGAATTGCACAAGTTTAGAAATCTGGAAATGATTTCTTGAGTTTACATTCTTTTAATGTTGGACATTGACTGACTAGTTTTTTTAGTGTAGAACTATCTACTGAACCGGTCACTTGTGTAATTGGACGAGTTGAATTAATGGCCTGGAGTTTTTGCTAGACTCTGCTAATTCTTTTGCCACAGTTTGACCAAGCCCAGCACAAAAGGTTGGGTGGGGGGGAGACGGTGAGCATTGGAAATAGTGAGCAAGTCTAGTTTCTCTGTGTGCCATTTGCATGGGTCTATCTTCAAACTAGAAATAACCCTATTCTCTTTCTCTAGCTCCACACTGCGGTTGGGTGTTCTGGAGTAATGGTTTAAGAGCATATGAACCTCTGGCATCATGTAGTGTGAGATAGCGTCATTTAATACAGAGCTGGTACAAGACATTTCTTGGAGACGTCTTGACCTCGTGTAGATCAATGTTTATTCATATACAAGCTGCATACATATTGCAGAAATATTGAGACTGCCAAGAGGAATAGACATAACGTAAGGAAGTGGGGGAGGTTCAGAGGTTTAGGTTGAGTTTGAGGTACCAATATAGATTGAGATATTTGGAGTGTTGTGGGCTAATATTGCACAAGTTGGCAATTTGTGAGAAGGAATGGTATGTGTGGTTCAGTGTTTGAACAGCCTTGCAAATATAAGAATTTTTGACCATGTTCAACCACTTGCTGTTTGTGCAGTAAACTAGCTTACTGCAAATCATTAAGATGGAAGACCCGACCGACCAATCACCCACCCACCCCTCCCTCATCCCCTGAGATACACATCTCCAAAGAGTGGTTTGGCTTTCAGTCAGCATTTTACACAAGCTGGAGCTAACTTTCTGTCCAACAGAGAAATCTCTGGTTAGAATGATAGAATCCCCAGTGTGTGGAAGCAGGCCATTTGGCCCATCGACTCTCCACTGCCCCTCTACAGAGCATCCCAGCCTCCTACCCTATCCCTGTACTTCCCGTGGCCAATCCACCTAACCTGCACGTCTTTGGACTGTGGGAGGAAACCAGAGCACCTGGAGGAAGCCCACGCAGACACGGAGAATGTGCAAACTCCACACACAGTTGCCCGAGGACAGAATTGAACTCTGGTCCCCGGTGCTGAGAGGTAATGCTACTTGGAGTACTGGGTATAGAGGAAACAAAGCAGCTGAATGGCGTTGGGCCCACTCCCACCCCTGCAGGTGAGGGCTCAGGGGTGGGGGACATTAAAAAGCCAGTTGGATAGGATGCTTGGCTTAAATGCTCCTTCTGATTGGCACTTGGCATTTCAGGAGCTGTCAGAAACTTGTGTTTGATAGGGCCTTCACAGGTCATCCTCCTCCTTCCCCCAACTCCCTCCAAAAAGTGTCTCTAAACTAGAGAAGAGATTCCCATTCGGATCAGATCTTGCATTTGTCCTTTGCCATTAACTCCTAGTTGCAGTTTGGGATAGTGCCTGTTCATTGCTGTAAAATATAGCTTCTTTTGAGTCATTTTATTGTTTATTGCAGCATTGTTTATTTATAATTTAGAAGTGGCAGTCCACTTTCCTTCAGGGTTCTTTTTCTATTGCAAAGGTCAGTCAAATGAGTATAGAATTCACAGGACCCAAACAAGGGTGGCACGGTGGCTCAGTGGTTAGCACTGTTGCGTCACAGTGCCAGGGACCTGGGTTCAATTCCACCCTCTGTCAACTGTGTGGAGTTTGCACATTCTCCGCGTGGGTTTCCTTTGGGTGCCCTGGTTTCCTCCCACAGTCCAACGATGTGCAGGCTAGATGGATTGGCCATGCTAAATTATCCATAGCTTTCAGGGATGTATAGATTAGGTGGGTTATAGGGAGATGCTCCGAGGGTCAGTGTGGACTTGTTGGGCCAAAGGCCCCTGTTTCCACACTAGGGATTCTATGAAGACTTATTAAATGAGTAATCATTTTCTGATCAAACGTTTCCTTCCTCCTAATATCCTACTGAAAAGTGACTCCTAATAAGGGGGATGCATTGAGATTGTACCAATTTCTAAAAATTTTGATCCTTTACACCCTTTTGGCGTGCAGAGCCAGTAAAGCAGCTGAGGGATTTATCTAAGCATAGTTGTTTTTGGTAGAAATACTGGGTCAAAACCCCTCAATTTTATGATGTGCCTTCTTTCCTGATAAAGGACTTGCGCGTGACACACATGATTGTATAGCAATGAAAGGTTAATGATTCAAATACAGGAGCAGGGATGTCTTGCTGCAATTGTATGAGCCTTGGTGAGATGACACCTGTGTGTAGTCTTGGCCTCCTTTATCTGAGGAAGGAGGTTCTGGTTTATGGAGGCAGGGCAGCCATGTTTTACCAGACTGATTCCTGGGATGGCAGGACTGCCCTATGAAGAGGGAATGGATCACTTAAGACTCTATATTCACTGGGGTTTAGAATGAGGGAGGATCTCAACCCTGTAAAAATTCTAGCTGGACTAGACAGGGTAAAATCTGTAAACTGTGTTCTTGATAGCCTGGGCAGTCTGGAACCAGGGGGTCACAGTCTAAGTATATTGGGTAAGCCACTTAGAACTGACGTGGAGAAATTTCTTTACCCAAGAGCCTGTAGAATTATTGCAGAAAGCAGGTGAAGTCAAAAACACTTGAAAGAATTTCATGAGGGAGATGGTTCTTCAGAGCTACAAGGATCAATGGGTATGGAGTGAAAGCAGGGTATT